TTGTGATTCAGAATAGGCCACAAGAAAATATGAGGATAAATTAAGATTTGTCAAATGGCTTAACTAATTCCAATGTACTGGAATGTAATTGGTTAGAATATTATCGTTAATATTGTTGGATTAATTTAAATGTCTGTTCAGAGTTTGAAAAATTTCTTGATAAATAATTTTAGATTTATGATTTATTTGTCAAGAAACTAAAGGCATTATTAGAATTAAAGTGAAAAGTTAAGAGAGACAAACATTAGAATTATTAAAAACTTTTAGATGAATGGGTAGCGTTTTGAAATGACAATGTGTCTACGCCTGTTAATTGTTCTGATTAAGTCCTGCAAAAGAAGAATTTTGAAAATATTTTTTTAAATTTGATCTAAAAAGTAAATTGCTATTTTTATTATATGTGGCTTTTATATTGACCAATATGTGCGCGTGTGTATCCCAGAGGTTTAAGTATGTGTAGAAGTTTAATAATTTGAAATTTTAATAATTTCATTTTATATCTATATATTCATGGTTTATATTAAGTTTAATTGATTATTTTTCTAGAATTGTAAATTAGGATGCTACTCACCAGAAAAATTTACTTTGGTCTCAGATATAGAAATTGACCCTACATCTCCTACTAATCATTGAAGGAAAAAATTATTTTGGGATTGTGGAAGCATGCGTTAGTTACTTTTGGTGTAAATAATTTTTTTTTATTATGAGGTGTTAACTTAGCACTCCATGTATACCGTAATTAGGTCATAATCTTATTTTATTCTTGTGAAATCTGCTGGTATAGAGCTAAGCTCCTTTCCAATTGGCTGACAGGTTTTGTTGTTATAAAAATTTTGGGTGGTCCTAATTATAAGAAAAATTCTATCGAAATTTTATAGAATGGTTAAAACTTTATGAATTTTAAATTTAAATGTAAATTATATCGTTATTTTGATTTAATTTTTTAGTTAATTAAGGCTTATGAAATATAAGTCTATTTCATATTCTGTGTCAGTTATACCTTCAATACTGAGATGTGACAAGAATACACTGAATCTTTATTCATTCATTGAGAGAACTGAGAGACACGTACTTATAGTACATGCCTGGATACAAACAGAGATACATAAAATAAAGCACATCTAATAAACATTTTAACCCTAAACTAACTATTTTCTACGCTCCTCTCAAGTTGGAACTATATGCAAATTTATAGTTCTCTTGACTTGCCCATAAATTTTTCAAGTGATTACTTTCCCAGAGTTTTGGTTTAAAACGTTAGCGTCGTGGTCCGTTGATCTTAAT